CATCCTGGCTGTGCCTGGAACACCTCTGAAGGATGAAAAAAATCAGTAACACTGGTGCCTCTCAGGAACAAAACTAGTTGGCAGATGCCCTGGCTGGTTTGGCTCAGTGGATAGAGCGTTGGCCTGCGGACTGAAGGGTCCCGGGTTCGATTCTGGTCAAGGGCACATGCCCGAGTTGTGGGCTCGATCCCCAGTGTGGGGCGTGCAGGAGGCAGCCGATCAATGACTCTCTCTCATCATTGATGTTTCTCTCTCTCTCTCTTTCTCTCTGAAATCAATAAAAATATATATTAAAAATAAAAATTTTTTTAAAGGAAAACGAAGTATCTTTTTTTAAAAAACTAGGTAGCAGAATCGGGTGGACAGAGACATATTTACCATCCAGCCTTTTGTGCTTTTCGAATATTTCCTTTCATCACATAAATGTATTCCCTATTTGAAAAATTATTTTTAATTAAAAACATTAAAACGTTTTTAATGTACAATACAAGTAAAATAATCTTCATGCAGCAAACCGAACACACTTGTTAATCCGGACAGCTGTGTCGCCGGCAACACCAGATGCTCAGTCTGCGGAACTTAATGGACCTTCACGTACAGAGAACAAAAGAGAATCAGAAACCAGGCAAACGCAACGGTCTCAGTGCTCCAATTCTCTCCTAAGCTCTTTGCCTAGATGCTACTTTACTATAAAAGATCGGAGAATGGCCCGGCCGGCGTGGCTCAGTGGTTGAGCATCGACCTATGAACCAGGAGGTCACGGTTCGATTCCCGGTCAGGGCACATGCCCGGGTTGCAGGCTCCATCCCCAGTGTGGGGTGAGCAGGAGGCAGCCGATCAATGATTCTCTCTTGTCATTGATGTTTCTCTCTCTCTCCCTTCCTCTCTAAAACCAATAAAAATATATTATTTAAAAAAAGATCGGAGAATGGGTCCTGTGTAACTGCGTCATCCAACTGGGTCCAGGGCACAAGCTTCAAAGGCAACAGCAGGTCTGGCCGCCCGTCCACACCAGCCATTTTATAAACAGAAAACGTTTAATATAGAAACACGATGCCCTGGAACCAGGACAACAAAAATAAACGTGCAGATATGAAAGTGATCCCGCACGGCGATAAGACCGGAATGTTGCAAGTAGTAGGTCAGAGCAGAGTTCTGCCACATGGTGTGTTATTACTGTTTGAAGTCTCTCTCTTTGCTATGGCTTTTCAAAAAGCCAGGTTTTAGGCAGAAAATAAGACAGACTCTGACCCTGTCTTCCATGGGACTAAAGAAATGTTATGTGCTCTGGACAAGGGCAGTGGGAACCCCTATACTCCTTGTGGGCCCTGCCGGAGATTACCAGGAGGAAGGTGTGAGTAAAGAATGAAAGAATAACTCTAGCTGGTTTGGTTTAGTGGATAGAGTGTTGGCCCGTGGACTGAAGGGTCCTGGGTTCAATTCCGGTCAAGGGCATGTACCTTGGTTCCAGGTTTCCCGCCCTGGTTGGGGTACGTGCAGGACGCAACCAATCGATGTGTCTCTCTCACATCAATGTTTCTCCCTCTCCCTTCCGCTCTTTCTAAAAATCAATGGGAAAATACAAAAAGATTTTGTTCATCCTTGGGTGAGGATTAACAAAAAACAAAACAAACAAAAGAATAACAGTAAATGAGAAGCCCTTTCATGAGGACCTTATGAGAAAAGAGAGCCAGAGAGAGAGAAAGAGGCCCATTATTAACCCACAAACAATGGAACTAAAGCAATTATTCTAAGATGGCCGAGCTCTGGAATGTCCCAAACGAAAAAACAAACCTCAGAAACAACGCTTTAGAAGGTGCCAACTAATGAACAGTGATCATCTTTGGTTTATTCTAGAACACTCGTAAACACAGAGAAGGGAAAACCAAAGGTGACCAGATTCCTGCAAGAAATAAAGGTGACAGGCATCTCTTAAATAAAAAGGAATTAAATTAGCTGGCAAACATGCCCCGGCTGGTTTGGCTCAGTGAACAGTGTCAGCCTGCAAACTGAAGAGTCCCGGGTTCGAATCCTGCCCGGGTTTCAGGCTGGATCCCCAGTGTGTGTGTGTGTGTGTGTGTGTGTGTGGTGGGGGGGGCGTGCAGGAGGCACCCGATCAATGATTCTCTCTCATCATTGATGTTCCTATCTCTCTCTCTCTCTCCCTTCCTCTCTGAAATCTATAAAAATCTATTTTTTTTTAAATTAGCTGGCAAACAGAGTAGGTATCTATCAAAACTGCAAAGGTGATAAAGGAAATGAAGGTGAGAATAAAAAGGAAAGAGAGGCAACTTCCCCAACTAAAACGAGAGGAAAGGATTGCTGTTCCATGGTACTTGCCATCTGGTTTATTTCAAGTTCAAGGAAAGAACAGGAGAAACACAGAAAAACCAGTGAACAAGCTAGCTTAGCGGCACGGACCAGCCACACACTTGTGTGTCTGCCCGGCAAGGCAGGCGCTGCCGCTGCTCGAATGACTAAGTAACTGGCTTAAATGCATCTGACACACGATCCCTGAACTTCCGAAAAGCACTTAATACAGTGGCTCATGAAATCTTAATCTAAAAATGTTCATCCATTTATAATCGAGCTGCATCACACTGACAACTGGGAAGGAGGGCCAGGCAGAGGGAAGAGATATTTGGAAGAATGCGTGGAAATTGCTATCATCAGAGACTAGCACTTGGAGGGACTTCCCCTCCTTTTTAAAAAGAATAAAACAGATTTGGAGTCTAAAAAAAGGAGTGTAAATTACAAGGAAAAAAACTAACAGAGAAAAATGACTGCCCTAATTTCATAAAAGGCAGACAAATAAGCAAAATGCAGGGTGACTTGGAAAACCTCACAGATGCTACAATAAAACCTGGAATATGTTTAATGAACTGCAGGGGAGAAGGCAGGGAGAGAAATAAACTCCTGGCTGAAAATAATGGGTGCCGACACGAAGAAAACTGTATGAAAGGGCAACAGAACATTGTATTCAGCAAATCTAGAATGGTTATTATGTGCCAGGCACTATGCTAAGTGCTTCAGATATAGTAACTCATGTACCACTCAAAAAAACCCTTTTAAGTACCATTATTATTCTTGTTTTATAGATGAGCAAACAGAGGCCTGGAGAGGTTAGGTAACTTGCCCAAAGTTACGGCTAGAAAGAAGCAAGGCTAGGATTCAAGTCTAGGCACTACGATACCAAAATCTGTGGTCCTAACCTCTCTGGACTCCCCTAGCACTTAAACACCAAGAGTGAGATAAATAGGCCGGGAGTGAAACACAAGTCATGAACTTGACGGATCCAGAGTCAACAGAGCACCCTTTACCCATGGCTCTGGGATGACCAGCGACCTCCCCGGGCCTTCGTTTCCTCACCTGTGCATTGAGGAGAAAGATTAGATGAGCTCTATCTAAGCTGTTTTCAGCTCTAAAATGCCACAAGTCCAACCCTAGCCGGTTTGGCTCAGTGGATAGAGCTTCGGCCCACAGATTGAAGAGTCCCGGGTTCGATTCCGGTCAAGGGCACAGGCCTTGGTTGCAGGTTCCCCAGCCCTGGTCGGGGTGCGTGCAGGAGGCAACCAATCGATGTGTCTCTCTCACATTGATGTTTCTATCTCTCCCTCTCTCTTCCACTTTCTCTAAACACCAATGAAAAATATCCTCGGGTGAGGATTAACAAAAAAATAAATTTAAAAAATGCCACAAGTCCAAGCTGTATAGACTGATCTGCTTTCTGACTGGTTATTCAACGGTTAATTCATCCTAAAACAGGCAGCAAGTGGTGTCAAAGTTCCCTGCCTCCTGACCTTCAGGAGATTATTATGTCATCTCATATGACAGAGGGCAGTCAACCGATACTTCATGGTTTCTCTTTTGGACTCTACTTAATGTGGTTTTAACAAAATGGCCCTCAAAACGCTCTGGCCGCAGGTCACATTAACTCTGTCCAACCTACAGGCTCCCCAGATCCTTCTCATGAGCCGGATCAAACCCTGTTAATGGAATGTAGGTGAAACTGACACGCTGAATGAGAGGAATGGGAAGATGAAGAGAGGCAGTCCACAGTTCACATTAAGGAGTCCCATGATGACTAAACAAACCTTGTATTTTTGGTCTAGTCTATTCTCTTTTCTAACTAACACCCACTCTTGAGAGCTGAGACCACAAAATTCATTATGGGTGAACGCAACATCCCCTTCCCAACTACCCCAGAAGTACCCTTCCCAGGCTGGCGTGAAAGTCACCCAGAGCGCCTGCAAGTGGAGAAAGGCTTTACAGGTGGGTCACGCAGTCCTCCGGGGTAGTCCTGTCTAAGCATCCCTGACAGGTGGCTGTAACCTGACCTCTGCCCGGACCCTTCCAAGGTCGGGGCGCTGGCGGCCTCCCCTGGCAGGCAGCCACCTGCCCCTGCTGGACAGCTCTCCTTGTGGGAAAGCCCACAAAGCGCCTAGGACAGGGCTCGGAGCCGAGGCAAGCTCCATCAATGCGTCTCCAAGTGGCTCAAAAGCTGCCTTCCGACAACTTGAACCCAGCGGTCCTAGGTGCACCCCTGGAGCCTCGAAAAGCAGAGGCCCCTCGAATACCCGGAGCTACAATCAGGCCCCTTGGCCCTCTCTTTCCAGGTGCGGATCCTGGACCCCCGTCGCCAAGCCCGAGCCGGCATACCCACCCTCCCCGGAGGTCCCAAGAGTGCGCACCGATGGAGCGATGGCCGGCAGGGAGGCTCCAATCCGGGATGTCCCCAACCTCGGGAGCCCGGGCTGGGGGGACAAAGGGCTTTCAGGAGCGCGTACCCGCTGCGGGCCAAGCAGCCTCCCTCCCCGCCACTTTGCGAATCGGCCCTCGGGACTCCGTGGCGCCAGGTGACAGGCCCCAAAGATCCCGGGCGCGCAGGCAGCGGTGCGATGGGCCGAGCCACGATGAGGACCGCGAGGTTTCAGGGGTTTGACCCAACTGATTCGGGGCGCGATCCCGGCTTAGCGGGGTTGGCTCGGCCCTGGCTTTACCTGTGCGTGGTTGACTACAGCGGCCCAGCTCGTCCTCAATCCGGTTCCTGGCAGCTCCGCGTCGCTCATGGAACAGCAGCCGGAACCCCTGGCCAGTGCAGCTCCCGCGGCTACCGGGCCCGCCCCAGCAACTGCCGCCACGCCCCTGACGACCGCTGCTCCCACGCCCCTAACCACGGAAACCCGCGGCTCATTGGGCGGCTCAGCCGTCGCTCTACAAGCCCCGCGCGCTCATTGCACCCAGGAGACAGCCCATTGGTCGACGGAGCTGCTCCTCAGCGTAAAGGCGGGGACCTTAAGGCAAACAATTGGTTACTTTTGACGTCTCTGGCCCGTGGGCCAAGCCCTGATTGGGTAAGGGCAGCCCGGAGGGGGCGGGAAGAGGGAGGAGGGCTAAAACACGGGTCGCGTTTGATGTTGCTGGGGGCGGGTGCAGAGAGGGAGGCAATTGTGATCTCCAGCTGGTTAGGGAGGACTGTGAAGGGTCTGGTGTCATCAAGGGTTGGGAGGAGAGGAGGGAGACCATCTGGTAGCTCAGCTGCGGGAGCTGATGGCTCCAGGCCGAACGACTGACTCACCTGTAGCCCAGGACACAGGGGGTGGAAAAGGGGGGGCGGCCAGGGGAGAGAGGAGGGAGGAATGTGAGTGACCAAACCTCAAAGAGAGGGAAGGATGTGGGGGCAGCCGCCTCAGCCCCTTCCTGCTAGGGAAGCTAGGCAACGTCCCACTGTCCTTGCAGCCCTTAAGACCACCCTCGACCCTCGCTGAGTCGGAGGCTGCCAGAAAGAATGTAGGCTTTGGAGTCGAACCTGGAATTGAGCCGCTGTTGCATAGCCTTGAGCTAGTCACTTGAACCTCTGTGCACGCACCCTGATTTCATCTGGCAACCGGGAGTAACAATTGCAGTTAATAAGATGAAATAACGCAGAGGTAAACAGTAACATGCTTGGCTCCGCAGGCATTCAGTCCACACTGGTTCCCCACCCACTCACCCCCAGAGGTCTAGGGAACTCGGCCCAGTGCTAAAATTCTATGAGCCTGAAAACAGCTTCTACAATGGCATGTGCTTTACCAAGAATAGAACACTTGACTGACTTGAAATGCAACTCCCGACAGCACCACCCTACCAGGGGACAATAGGGCTGGAAAAGATGGGAGGAGCCATTTAGCCAGAGAAGGGAAGTGGTATTTGTAGCAATGTTAATTTTTCCCCAACATATTTTAGAATTATGACAAGGATAAATGGAGCTTCCTATATCCTGTTCACCCATCCAAGTGTCCCATGGCTCAGGTTTCAATAACCCTTAGAAGGCCGATCAGCCCTGGTCCAGAGTTCACTGCATAAAAATCTATCGGCCAGGGACTTCTGAAGCCATTCCCATTCTAAGGGTGTGAAAGTCCTGAACAGAAACAGTCTCTCAGGCCTGAATTGAGCCCCAGACCCCCTAGGTCTGTCTTTGAGAGAACCCAAGCCATGGTGTTCCAGGATGAAAGAGGAGAGAGAACCCTTTGCCATTGCTCTACTTTTCATCCAGTTGTCATGTTTACCTAAAAAAAGTTCATAGGGCTGGAAAAGATGGGAGGAGCCATTTAGCCAGAGAAGGGAAGTGGTATTTGTAGCAATGTTAATTTTTCCCCAACATATTTTAGAATTATGACAAGGATAAATGGAGCTTCCTATATCCTGTTCACCCATCCAAGTGTCCCATGGCTCAGGTTTCAATAACCCTTAGAAGGCCGATCAGCCCTGGACCAGAGCTCACTGCATAAAAATCTATCAGCCAGGGACTTCTGAAGCCATTTCCATTCTAAAGGTGTGAAAGTCCTGAACAGAAACAGCCTCTGGGGCCTGAATTTAGCCCCAGACCCCCTAGGTCTGCCTTTGAGAGAACCCACAGCCAGGGTGTTCCAGGATGAAAGAGGAGAGAGAACCCTTTGCCATTGCTCTACTTTTCATCCAGTTGTCATGTTTACCTAAAAAAAGTTCACCTCAGCATTTATTTATTCCATCATGGGAAGGAAAAATCCAGGCTTCCATAGCAAAGGATTTTAGTGAGGGACCCCTCTAGTTCTGACTCTGTGTTAAAGCAATTTGGGGTTCCAGAAAAGAGCCTTAGATCTGTTTGCCAGTTGGATGTGTGTGTGTGTGTGTGTGTGTGCGTGTGCACCGCGCACTTGGTTCTGCTCCACTGTTTTCTAGTTCTGTGTCTTTAAATAGTTCTGCTTGGTGGCCACACATATGTCTGCACACGTGCTGGGGAAACAGGCCTGGCCCAATACAGGGTTGCCTCTGCTTCTGTTGGCAAAAGGAGACTGATATGTCTTGTTTGGTCGTGAAAGGATGGAAGTGGGCTCCTGAGATCTGGGAAGATTTCTCCAGCTTGATTCAAAGCCACAGAAAGCAGCTGTGAGGAGTAAACCCCAGATGGACTTACCATGGTGCGGACTGACTTTTTCCCCCCAGGTCAGGAACATAGGTTCAGCCAGCATTGCCAGAAAGGGACGGGTCCACCCAGTTCAGGAATTCTAAACCACGATAGCGTCACAGAGGCTGAAAAAGAAACATAGAATGAGCCCAGGCCGAGGAAGAAGAAGGAAAGGACACACGCATCTTCTCCTTTGCAGCCCCGGCTGGCTTCAGTAACGACCCATTACCCCCTGCAACACTTAGAACTGCTTTCTTATTTGTCCATGGGGTCTATTTCCTCCCCTCTGCTTTGGCTCTTGCCATATTCTGTTGAGTCGTATTATTTCATTCCGTAAAGTTTTTCCTTGGGAGGCCATTTAAGAGACAGAATGGACTCGTTTTTGCCTTCAAGTTAGTGAGGCTCGGCCTGGGATGACTAGGAGTTAGGATGAGGCTGTGAAGTGCTCTTCTGAAAGCATGTGAGTGCCCTGTTATAAAGACAACAAGGGGATTGACTAAAGTGGAATTGGCTCTCCACTCTCCTGGGGCCTCTCAGCAGGATTTCCCAGCCCTTTGGAAAGTCCTCGAGTTCCCAAGGGAGGCAGCAGGCAGCAGTGGCCACAGCAGGTGGTGTGCTCTGTTTATTCTCTTTATGCAAAATCAGTGATTGCTTTTTCTGTGTCCTTAAGGGATGGTTGAGAGCAACCAGCTCTGGCGCCTCTGCTGTTGGGCTAGAATCCTGCCTCCGCTCTTCCCAGCCTTGTGATTTTGGGCAAGTACTCACCTCTCTGTGCCCCACTCTCTTCTGTAAAATTCGGATGATGGGGTGCTGTGAGGAGCAAATGAGTTCAAGTGCATCAGACAGAGCCTGGTACACACTTAGTTCTTAGTAAGTCTTTGCCTAGTTATTCCAGGAGCCCACTTAAGACCCTTTCTCTAAGGCACTAACTCATTTTCTAAAGTTTTCATATAGACTTTCTGTTAAAAATAGTTTTAGATTAACAGCAAAATTGGACACAAAGTTCCTATTTACCCATCCCCCCAAAATATGAGGGATTTTTTGTTGTTAATCCTCACTCGAGGATATTTTTCCATTGATTTTTCTCCTGCACGAGCCCCCATTCCGACCAAAGCCCGGGCCGGGGAGGAGCCTGCAACGAGATATATGCCCTTGACCGGAATCGAACCTGGGACCCTTCAGTCCACAGGCTGATGCTCTATCCACTGAGCCAAATCGGCTAGGGCAGATTTTTTTTTTAAACCAGCAACATCTACCACCTGGACAGAGAAACTTTTTCTTCAGAACATCCTCACCAAAAGAGGGTTCTAAGGACTGAGATAAGATTTTTGAGCCTGGACCTCATCAACTTACTCACTGTGAGGGAACTGGGAAAGGACGTGGCTGAGAGAACAGTATTAGAAGCTGCAGCCTGGATGTTCATGAAATTCCCTTGAAGGCCAGGTTGGCACAGGCGCTGAGAAACCCAGAATTGTCACTTGACTGCCACAGCCAGTGCTGCCTGTGTGTGACTAGGCAGTGAGTTCAGAATGCCCGATGCCAGGCCTCCAGGCCAGTCCTATGGATGATGGAGATAAAGTTTGGAAGCTTTAAGTCCCAGCATGCAATGGTTCTATGATGTCTTTAGTTATTGGAAAAGCTTCCTGCTGGCTATTCAAAAACAGTGACGAATAATCCCCGTGGCTATGATTTGCGTTGCTTCCTTAAACCTCTGGGTGAAGTTGTCTATGATAAAATCATAGGGTGCTTTCATGCCCAGGGCAGTCTTGGTTTATGCTTATTGCCTTGGCAAATTTTTAATAGTGTCCCCTTTTCATTCTCAAATAGTCTCAGAGTTTGGATGACAAAATATATGGAATACTTATACGTACACACATAGGATCCAGCACTGAAAATGCTCATCTCTCTCTCTCTCTCTCTCTCTCTCTCTCTCTCACACACACACACACACACACACACACACACACACACACGGTGAAAAGCTGTTCCAGCCTTATAATCAGATACATACGTGCTGTCGGGCTGGTGGTTGGCTATAGATGCCTTCTTAGTCATCACGCATTCCCCTTCCTGACGTCATCCTTAATTACAGTAATAAAAGTTGAGTTCCTCATGCCATTCACTCAAAAGGAATCAATAAAACTTGCGCGTTAAATAAGGGCATCACATACCTTTTCCTGCATAATTTCATGTTACTGAGCTTTTATTTTATTTTTTTGTAATATTTTTATTGATTTCAGAGAGGAAGGGAGAAGGAGAGAGAGATGGAAACATCAATGATGAGTGAGAATCAGTGATCAGCTGCCTCCTGCACGCCCCCAACCAGGGATCGAGCCCACAACCCGGGCATGTGCCCTTGACTGGAATCAAACCCAGGACCCTTCAGTCCGCAAGCTGATGCTCTATCCACTGAGCCAAACCAGCGAGGGCCTGAGCTATTATTTTAAAGCTGTTTATGATGTGCCAGAGATCCCTGTATTGTTTGACCATATATTTGAATTAATTAACCAGAGTAAATATTTTTACCACACCAGACATATAATACTAGAGAAGTAAACAGAGCCATAAAGCAAAGTCCCATTCCTGTATAGGACAAAGAGGACATACTGTGAGAGATAACTAAGAGAACTGAACAGTAAGCGATCGAGAGTAATCAGTGTTATGAAGAATTACTCAGAGGA